ATTAACTTGATAAATTGGGCCCATTATCTGAAATTTTTTTGTTTAACTTTTCGATTGTGAGTCGGAAAGATGAGGTATCGATTCCCACTGGACTCATGGAGGGAATGGTCTCTGTTTCGCCATCATTTGACTCGAAGGTCATTGACCCTTTACTGGTTTCGATAGTTTCTGCCATTAGGTTGAGCCTCAACTGGCTCTGATACTATGTAAGCTGAGAGACTTGAGAAGAGAGGAAAAAACTGTCTTTTTTCTCTTGTACAACATTACAGCCGAGTGCCCTCTTTTTAGTACTTACTTATAAGAGGGGCTAAAATAAGGAAATAAAAAATATTCTCAAATCCTACCTAATCTCCAAGAATCATGCCTAATTACAATAATTACAATTTCCCTAAATACAATAGTTAATGAAGGCAACTAAGATATTATCATATCTCTGGGACTTCAACACCTATCTTGTCTGTTTTGGTTCTTATAACATGGATTTATATTAAGTTATGTTCTACTAGTTTTGGATTTCCAGGATCTGAATTTGTCTATAAACAGTATTATTTATGTTTCCTACATATATGCCCTCAATACATTACAGAACTTTAAACTAACCGACGACTTGAAAGTAAACATATTGTTTGAGGCTTCACTTCATGCTAGAGGTGTAAGCTGCATTAACATCAAACAATCATGTATACATTCGATAGAAAAAATAATAATAATTATGACAACAAATTATAGAGAGTGAATTTAGCAAAACTTAATTATGAAAATGACATTTACAAACTTAAACAAAAATAACTCAATGGACAGAAATAAATTTAGAAAGTGAACTTGAGAGAGTGTGAGATTGATCGTACATGAAATGAGGGATACCTATTTGTAAAAAAAATTGGGTTTTTTTCAAAAAGAAAAAGATTTTTTTTCCTGGAATGGCTGAAATAGAGCTATACAATTGTAGCTGTTGGACCAAAGGCTAGAATTGAAGCCATCTGCTGATATGGGTGTCCCAACTCTCCCTACACCTCTACTTCAAGTAGATTATGTTCTTCTTTGTTCGACTTGCAAATATAGTGTATTTTTACAGAAATATTTTTAGAGGTTAATGACTATGATGCTGGGACTCCGGTATGGGTATCGGGTACAGGTACGTATCTAAGTGTCAAATCTTTTCAAATGTTCAGCCTGTCCACCTTTAGCTAGGAGGCCCCATATTTTCCGGCCCAGCTTCACCACCTTTACACTGTTGTGGTCCAAACTTGTGAGGCTCAGTAACTTTTAACATTAAGGCCGACACTTCTACCTTAGCAAGCCCATTCTTCCCTTTGTTCAACATTACAGCTTGACGATTCTCCTCACGGCGAACATCCGAGAAGATCTCACGCGTCAATGGCAATGGGCGGCGGCTAAGAATTCTTCCCCTGACATCGTCTAACTCACTATTGAGGCCTGCTAAGAATTCGAAGACACATGCTCTCTACCTTTTTTCGGTAGAGTGAGCAGTCAGCTGGACATGCCCATTCTTCCTCTATGCTCAAATCCAATTCTTGCCACAAAGCCACCATCTCTATGTAGTAATCAGTTACTTTCCTATCTCCTTGCTTGATTTGCCATAGTTTAGTTTTGATTTCGAAAATTTGCGAAGCGTTCTCTGAATCGGAGTAGGTGTCTCTTATAGCATTCCACACGACTTTTGCACTTGGTAAGAATAGATAGGACTTTTTGATGGAAGGAATCATTGAGTTTACAAGCCATGCAGTCATCAAGGAATTTTCTGAGTTCCATCTCTGCAAATGGGCTACCTCGGTTGAGGCGGGCTTCTTCACATCCCCGGTCAAGTATCCCAACTTTCCTTTCCCATCGATGATTAACTTGATAAATTGGGCCCATTATCTGAAATTTTTTTGTTTAACTTTTCGATTGTGAGTCGGAAAGATGAGGTATCGATTCCCACTGGACTCATGGAGGGAATGGTCTCTGTTTCGCCATCATTTGACTCGAAGGTCATTGACCCTTTACTGGTTTCGATAGTTTCTGCCATTAGGTTGAGCCTCAACTGGCTCTGATACTATGTAAGCTGAGAGACTTGAGAAGAGAGGAAAAAACTGTCTTTTTTCTCTTGTACAACATTACAGCCGAGTGCCCTCTTTTTAGTACTTACTTATAAGAGGGGCTAAAATAAGGAAATAAAAAATATTCTCAAATCCTACCTAATCTCCAAGAATCATGCCTAATTACAATAATTACAATTTCCCTAAATACAATAGTTAATGAAGGCAACTAAGATATTATCATATCTCTGGGACTTCAACACCTATCTTGTCTGTTTTGGTTCTTATAACATGGATTTATATTAAGTTATGTTCTACTAGTTTTGGATTTCCAGGATCTGAATTTGTCTATAAACAGTATTATTTATGTTTCCTACATATATGCCCTCAATACATTACAGAACTTTAAACTAACCGACGACTTGAAAGTAAACATATTGTTTGAGGCTTCACTTCATGCTAGAGGTGTAAGCTGCATTAACATCAAACAATCATGTATACATTCGATAGAAAAAATAATAATAATTATGACAACAAATTATAGAGAGTGAATTTAGCAAAACTTAATTATGAAAATGACATTTACAAACTTAAACAAAAATAACTCAATGGACAGAAATAAATTTAGAAAGTGAACTTGAGAGAGTGTGAGATTGATCGTACATGAAATGAGGGATACCTATTTGTAAAAAAAATTGGGTTTTTTTCAAAAAGAAAAAGATTTTTTTTCCTGGAATGGCTGAAATAGAGCTATACAATTGTAGCTGTTGGACCAAAGGCTAGAATTGAAGCCATCTGCTGATATGGGTGTCCCAACTCTCCCTACACCTCTACTTCAAGTAGATTATGTTCTTCTTTGTTCGACTTGCAAATATAGTGTATTTTTACAGAAATATTTTTAGAGGCTAATGACTATGATGCTGGGACTCCGGTATGGGTATCGGGTACAGGTACGTATCTAAGTGTCAGATCTTTTATTTTCTAGAATGTAGGATATGGAGATATGGCTAAAAAGAATCCAAAGTTTGGATACGGGTACGTGGGTACGTCTTTCAAACTTCAATTTTTTTACTAATCCAAAATGTTATTTTGAATAGACCAAAATAAATTATTAACAAAGAAGGAAATGAATAATGAATAAGGGGTTAAGATGAATAAAATTGAATTTTAGAGTTTAGTTTTCAATAATGGGAATTACTAAATGTTATATAAATTAGAAAATGAGGGATTTGATTTCAATTTGGATTTAGTAGAGTATTAAGTAGTACTATATGGAATCCACTTTCATTTTATACAAACGAAACCTTAAACCACCGTTACAAAGAGAGAAATAAGAGAAAATGGAAAGAAAAAAGGGAAAACCTAGCGCCGTCGTCCTTCTCCACTCTCTCCGTGCCGACGCTAGGTTTATAGAAAGTAAAAACAGGAAAGAAGAAAAGGGAAAGTAAAGGAAAAGAGAAAAAAAATAAAGAAGAAAAAGCTAAAACGACGAAATGTCTGGTTGAAATTTGGAGGATCCGACACATAACTCATATCCATACTCATGTCGTTCGTGTCTGACATGAATACTACGACTATTTTGAAGAGTCCGAGCATCAGAGGCTAATGATATCTTGTCATGACTTTAGTCTATTCAATTTTAATAGCTTAAGTTTAAAATATCTGTGGGTTATCCAGAAGAGAATTCTTTTCCTAATAAACAGTTCAATCGCATTGCCGTAATTCTAGAACTGCCAACTTCATCTTAGTCAGTCACTAGAAATTTCATTGCTCCTTTATTTCTGTCTCGTTATTCTTAAGAATCCTCCGTATGTTTAAAAAAGACAGGATCATCCTATCATAGGCTACCCCAGAACATAAGATTTCTTGATTCAGATATGCATTTGCTTGTTTCTGTTGGTCACAAGACAATGGAAGAGACATAATTTTTATGTTCTAAGCTTTATCTGAAACTTACAAACAGATGACTTCTACTCACTTTGTCTTCCTTTCGAAAGGTTAAGGGCAGCTGTAGTGGGTTACTACTTTTCCCCTCGAGTCTCCGGATCAAGGCACAGTACGTAAGCTTCATGCCCGCTCTTAGGTGCTAAGATGTTACCTTTCACATACCCTTTTTTGTATCGGCTTTCCACACTACTACAAAACCCATTCCTTATTAGGAAAAGCTCAAATCAAGTTCCTCTAGGCTAATGTTTATTTATTTAAACATAATATATGCTTGAATATGTTTAACCTCCAGGCAGGCTGAATCTTATTTTATGCTTCCACATGCTGTTCTGGGGGTTTCAGTATAGCGATGATAAATGTTTTGGGATTTTCTTTTTCTATTTTTGCCTGGTGAGGTGGATGAGCATTGCAGTTCTTTCTCATGGCCTAGATGTATCAAGCTAGAGTATTCCTTTTCTAATGTCTTTGTTTTGGGATTTATATGTTTTTAGAAGGGATTCTGTTAATTTTTATTTGTTTCATTTTTTAACCACATTCTCCCCTTATTGAGCTCTGTGTTGATGGCAGTGTGACATTGATGAGGGAAGACCGTTCGACTATTTAGTATATACCTATTCTTTATTAGATCAATTTTATAAATATTTCTTAGCTGATATGAAAATAAATTTATTATATTTCTTTTAAGATCCTTGTCTCTTTATATGTGGACCTTATGTTTCGAAATTCGTATGTGTAGGATTTCCCCAATAAAGCATGTAACTCTAGACCTGATCCTTGAAGATGTTCTTCGTCTAATCTTATGAGATGAATTTTGAACTGTTTCATGTTTTGATAAGTTATACTTCCTTGGGAGAAATGCTATGACCTTTTTCCTGTCAATATTTTGAATCCTCTGTTTTTCAAAATTTTCATATTTCTCCATTTGCACATTACTTTCATCATGCCTTTACTTGGGAATTCAGCTGTAGACCTGAAAATCACCGTACTTTCTGTTTGTGTTCCATAATTGTGTAGGTTTTGGCCGACAGTGTTGACATTCCTTGCTGCCTAGTGAAAGGACTGAAATTTACTGGTTCTGATGACGTGGCAATGACCTTAGTAAAAGTTAATAATGAAAGGTTTGGTCAATTAGTTATCTTGTTACCCTAGTGCTGTCAATTTAACAAGAGAGTTGATCTGTAATCCTCATTTTGTTTCCTTTTCCTTTTTCCGTTTTTAGGTAATTCCAGTGTGCTTCAACGTTAACAAACTGTATACTCCTAGGAAATCTGCATAATGAATGACCCAATTTTTATTTTTATTTTTTTTACATTTTTTACGGAAGATGCATCTCTTGACTCCAACTAGCAGCCGAAGTACAAGTGTGAAGACGTATTTGGCTAAAAATGACTTTCTATGTACTGTACCAATTTAAAACTACCGATATCTAATCTTGCAAATTTCTTTTCAATATGACTAATCTTAATCTAAAATAGCATTAAAAATTCTCTTCTCAATTTATGCTGTCACAAATCAGATTTCATTTACATTCTGTGGTGGACAAATGGATTCTTTAAGGATGTAATGACATGTCCTGCATTGCTTTTCTTTTTAAAAAGTGGATAATGTGGTTTCAGGGAATACATTATCGATCTAATGGCAGACCCTGGCACATTTATTCCATCTGATGCAGCAGGATTGCATATAGACTATGAAGAATTATCTCTTTCTAACGGTCCATTGTCTAAAGATGTGGAACCTTCTTGTATGGCTTCATCGAGTAGCAGGATAACTAGTCCATTTGAAGGCCAATCAGAGGTTGGAACTTTGGAAAGGAGACCCAGGATTAAAGAGACTATTGCCGCAAGAAATGAAACTATTGTCAGACACAAATTTTCTTCAGGGATTGCTGTAAAGCAGATCAAAGCTCAAGAAGGACCCAATCAATTCTCTGATGGTTCAAAAAAACCTTGGAATGTGAAGAAGGAGCCAGCATGGGAGATTCCTAGTAGATCTAATCATCGTTCTGCACATGCAAGATCTCCTTCCTGGACTGAAGGCGTTAGCTCTCCAGCTGTCCGCAGAATGAAAGTTAAGGACGTTTCACAATACATGATTGATGCTGCCAAAGAAAACCCACAGTTAGCTCAGAAACTCCATGATGTTCTACTCGAAAGTGGTGTTATTGCTCCACCGAACTTGTTCACTGAAGTGTACCCAGATCAGTTAGATATGTCGCTGGGGGAAACCAAATCCCCAGGGGCAGAAAAGGAGAACACAGGAAGCGATGAGATTCAAAAAATTAAAGGTCATACTAATCTAGATCCAATTCGCTTCCTGCCTTCAGTGCCTCATCAAGATGCTTGTTCTAGAAGCCCGAATAAGCAACTGGAAAGTCATTTAGATCTAAAGCAAGCAACTGGACATCATGTTTCACCGGAGCCTGAAATAGCTCCTGTAAAATATAATAAAAATGTTCCTGTTGCTGCTGCTGCTGCAGCTGTTGTTGCCTCTTCAATGGTAGTTGCAGTAGCAAAGACTAACACTGATCCAAAACTTCAGCTTCCAGTAGCAGCCGCAGCTACAGCCGCAGCTGCTGCTGTGGCAGCAACAACTGCTGCAGTCAGTAAGCAGTATGAATTGGAGACTTCTGCTCAATCGCCAGATAGTCCTGCTTCCTTTGTGTACCCATCAGAATGTCTAAGAAATGATGGTGAAGCAGATATCGCTGTTCCTGAGCACCAAGGAACTGGTGAACCGGAGCACGATGCTTTGGAACTTAATTCTGAGGGAGAGAGAATATCAGATAGGTCAACAGGCAATGATAGTGCAAAATCTGATATAGCACTTGATGATGTGGCAGATTGTGAGATCGCTTGGGACGAAATCACCTTGGGTGAGCGTATTGGGCTCGGTACTGACCTAGCATTATAGCCATTGATTATAAGTAATTCTATATAATGGTTGATCTCAAACCAGACCACACGTATTGTTTTATTTTAAATTATCGCCATTGCAGGATCTTATGGAGAAGTATATCATGGCGACTGGCATGGAACTGTGAGTTTCTCAAAGTCTTGTGGCTACTTGAATTCTAGTTATTTTCTGTAATTTCCAAGCTTGGAACTAAAAGCATGTTAGGGATGTGTTTATAAACAGTTTAAATTATATATAAATGGGTACTACTTGTGGATCCCTCAAAATGTGTGGGTAAAAATGGTTTGAGTGTTTATAAACATGAGCCAAATATAGGCTAAAATACTTTCACTATTAGACCAGGAAGTAAAAATAGATAACTTTAGAAGACTGCATGATATATGACCACCAACACTATGTTGTTAAATTTAATGCTTGCGCAAAATTGGAATACCTACTGAAGTCTAAACGGTTACCTTTTTAGTTCTGCATAATGCATTAAAATTTTCATAATGCCTGATCATAATTTACAAGTTAGAATATTTTTCAGAAGCCTGAAAAATGTTTCTTTTCTTATCCTTTTGACAGAGATTGGTGATTGAGTTGGTGTTATTATAAAATATGATTTAAGTTGGTTTCTGAATATTGAATGGCAAACTCAGCAAAAAGCATAACTTGTTAAAGAGAATAACAAGTATTTATTAATATTTTGTTCATCAACACTCCTCTACACGAGCAGGTCATATTCAATTTTTTCTTTGACGCCTGACACATAAAACTTTTTTTAGTAACACTTGAACTGTGGATCTTTATGTGCCTCCCCTATCATTTCGAATGGTCAGTTTATCTAAAGTTTATGTTGTCAAAGAAGGGAAGAATTTATTTATTTATATATCCTCATCCTATCTAATCACATGCATACTAGATTTTTTATTTTCTAAAAGGTCTTATAAGTGGATTTTCATGATGGAGCAGCACCAATGAGACTCAAGCTTTGTACTTTTCCGTACTTGCATACTTCATTAAATGACGAGTTCATCTAAAAGCTTAAACTGATAAAGAGGATGTTATTATTATATTTTTAATTTTATTTTATATTTATATCTTGAAATGTGCTCCCCGACGTACAAGTCCAATTTATTTTTTCTTCAAAGTCTTGAAACGTGAAATTTTCTCAAATGAGTGGTGGCATGGCTTGAACTAAGGAACTTTGACTCCAATTGTTATTTTGTTGAGCCAAATAATCTAAAAGCTTAAACTGTGATGAGAAAAATTTCCTTTTCAATTTCTATGTAAGGATTTATATCCTCAATGCGGCGAACTTGGCTTTTTGGAACTTTTTGAATCTAATTATTATGTTGTTTCCATATTCAATGTTTGTTGCTACTAATCAATTAATTACTAATGTTCATTTATGTATTTTATACCACTTGGGATAACCATATTCTAACTTTGTTTACAAATTATTATGAAACGTGCTTCGATTTTGTAGGCAATGAAGAAATCTATGTTCTATTTGTAGGCAATGAAGAAACCTATGTTCTATCTATGACTGGACTGAGCTTCTAAATTGTAGTCCGGGAACTTTGACATTTTTAGGCTTGGTGTGTGTGCGCGCCAACATTCTAGTTAGGAACATGACCCCTCTCCGCAAGGTTTCACAAAAATTTGGATAATTAATAACCAGTCTTTATACACATTGATACCTACTACTGTGGTGGTTCATTTATTTGTCATCGTTTTTGTGGTTTTGGGTTTTTATGAGTGTTTTGGTTCTTTATTGATCTGATATTTTCTTCAGCACTGAGTTCTTAAATTACAGAAATTTATCCATTGATTTCAAACTTATAGGAAGTTGCTGTTAAAAAGTTCCTCGACCAAGATATAACTAATGAATCCCTTGAAGAATTCAGGAGTGAGGTATACTTTCTCTCCTTCCTGACATAGATACATTCTTTTTTAGCATTTAAACCAGGGTCAGATATCACCCGCATAGCAATTACAAGTGTCTTGTTTCAATCCCATCAAAACTATTCGTTACATGGTTTATTTTTAAGATGGTATAATTTTTAAAATGAACTGATAACCTTTTCTGAAGTAAGTTCTGTTAAACACATTACTAATAGTTGTTCTTATGAAGATCTTACTTAGCAGGAGTCGTAATAGGTGTTTCTTCCAAGTCTAGTATTGCATGGAGTTCAGTTGAAAGATCCTCTCTTCCTTGCTAAATTACCATTTAGGAAATCTTACTAGAAATTATTATTGTTCCTGAATGATTTTCTAAATCTTATGCTTATTTTCATAAGATATTTGTGTTTCACCACTGGGTTTTTTGAAAATTATGCTTTCTATTTCTATAATTCATTTCCACTAATTTTACAACCAGTTTTGTGAATTTCTAACTTTCATATTTAATTTTATGTTTTGGACTTTGTGTTTATGATTTGAAATGAATTATTTTACTTGTGCATCTTTGCAAGGTCCGAATCATGAAAAAACTCAGACATCCAAATATAGTTCTCTTCATGGGAGCTGTTACTCGGCCTCCAAATCTTTCAATTGTTACTGAGTTTCTTCCTAGGTATTCCTCAATTCCAAACTTTTTGGGTATGTGTAGTTATTAATCTCTTACCATGGTTTTGAATATGAAACTGTTAGTTACTGCTAAAATGCTCCAAGAAACTCTAATCTAATAGACTATCACTTTCTTGTTTGGAACCTCTATCCTTCAACCTTTGGATGTCTCTTCTAGGACATGGCAATGTAAAGTTCATTTTCAATCTTTTTTTAACCTGAAATCTATGAGCCCTGTAATCTGATTTAGTGCCTGCAATTTTCCCAAATGTTGATTGAGTATATTGAAGCAGAAACTTATTACATACAACCATGAGAGTTAATGAATATAATTTGATCCTTCTATAAAGATCAATTTTCTGGATTACTTAATTTACATTGATTCAATTACATTTAATCAAGGATTTAGATTTCATAAACTGAACATTTTTTCTTTATGTTTTGCAATATTTGTTCGAGGAAAATGAGTTCTTTTATGAATTGTTACCATGTTGCCTTTAAATTGAAGCATATTTTATGGTTTCAGAGGTAGTTTGTATAGGCTGATTCATCGCCCCAATAATCAACTAGACAAACGCAGACGATTGAGGATGGCTCTTGATGCTGTATGCTCCTGTTTACTTAACTTCTAATTCTCTATCCGTTAGCAGCTTCTGATTTATTGGTGAACATGCTGGTGCTGATGCAGTTTACTTCATTTCACACAGGCTCGGGGAATGAATTATTTGCACAACTGCACACCTGTAATAGTTCATCGTGATTTGAAGTCTCCAAACCTTCTTGTTGATAAGAACTGGGTTGTGAAGGTAGCTCTCTTCACTGAGAACTGACAATTATATTATTATTTTTTCAATCATAATCAATCCCATATTATTTTCTGCATCAAGGTAGGCGATTTCGGATTATCAAAAATGAAGGACAGCACATTTATTTCTTCAAAGTCAAATGCCGGGACGGTAAGCTGTATTAAGCTAATTTGTACTGCGGCCTTTTTGTTTGATGCAGTAATTTAAACAGTCAAATACTTTTTCTTATTTTGCACTAGCACTTAATTTATCTGCTCTGAAATATATTTTGTGCCATTCTTTTGTTGATAAACATCTTACTTTCTTTTTCGAAATGTTACATCCTTTTGAGGAACTGACATGTTGCGATGCTTCATGATGTGAACCCACGGAGCAATAGTAGCTATGGAACTCGCATGAGATTGATTCAAACCCAAGAAAGCCAACAATCAACATTTAGAGTTTGACCCAAAAATATTGAACTAAGTAACCAATACAATGACCAACAATATGTTGACCCCTTGATCACTAGATTAAAGAATCTCACCCAGATTGTTTAGCTCGACCTGATAAATTATTGAACTAAAGAACCAAGACAATCACAAACAATATCTTGACCCCGTGACCACAAAAACTTACGAACCTAACTTGAATTATTGAACGCCATAAAGTGTATGAATCTTTGATAAGTTCGGATAGTTTGAACGCTACAAATATTAAAAATATTTGATAAGTTTTGTTCAATTAAGAACAAGATTGAAAGTGAAAAACTTCATATTATGATTAATTCTCAAAAAAATCAATGTCTTCATTGTACAATGAATGTGCCTTTTATAGGCATAAATAAATTCCTAATCAAAATAAAACTCTAATTCTATAGACAAATCCAAATAAACTAGAAAACTACAAAATAAATCTGAATAAAACTAAAATATTACAAATAACGAAAATACCCTTAAACTAATTCAAAACATAAAAACGCAAAAATAGACCCCTAAACAACCGAATTTCACCCCAAAAGTTTGACAAAGTCATTCGACAAACTTGTGTAGAATCGAAAGGCATTTCTGGATTGTACTTATGGATCGGGCTGAAAGTTATATGCATTTTTATACATCTTGTGCATTTTCGCACATACTTTATATTCCTTCCATTTTCTAATTGGTTTAGGATCTTCTCTTCTATCTGATCTGTATCACTCCGAAACATGCAATGGATCCTTGTTTGTTTGCCCTCCATGATTCTCATCATTCATATTATTTCACAGCATTAATACTAACTTTCTGTTGAAATGCTTTCCTCCATTCTATCATTTTTGTCCTTTTCTTTTTTCCCATTTGTTTGATGCCTTTGCCTTCATTGAACAACATGATGATTCATCATGCAACTGGCTTATTCTGTTCATCATCTTATTATCAGCCATATTGTAGAAATAGTCAACAGTGTTATCCAGTCACTATTTTCTGTGATCTGTGGTTTAAAAGTAAATTTAAGATCCTGAAAACCTATGCTTCTCTGGGGGGAAAGAAAAATAAAAATAATTAAAATAATTAAAAAAAATAAAAATTTGAATCTTTCTGGTGTCATTTTATAATATGAAAGTGCTAGTTTTTATGGAAGAAATTGAAACGAGGTCGCAATGCTTGCGTCTACATTTCGGTAGTTTCTGCCACCACCATTAAAAGGTTCCATAATATGATAGCAATGGCACATTAAAATTAATCTTGTATTATTTTAATACTTCTTGATGAATGCCGAAGCTAATTTTTATGTTGGCTATGTTCCATATATAAGTCAACTTTTAATTGACAATTGCATGCAATCATCTTTTCAATAAAACATCTGAATTTTTTATTTTTTTATTATTTATTATTATTATTTTTTAACGATCATCTGGCATTTCACGATTTGGTGTTACCCTTCTTTAGGCAGAGTGGATGGCACCAGAAGTTCTAAGAAATGAGCCATCAAATGAAAAGTATGTCCTCCAATTATTACTCTAATAAAAAATAAAAGAGATGTGAAAACACAGAATCCATAAAATGACATTCTTGGTCTTTATTTTTGTGATTTTTGATTGATTTGTTTGTTGATTGATTCACGCGCAGATGTGATGTTTATAGCTTTGGCGTTATATTATGGGAACTTTGTACTTTGCAGCAACCCTGGGGAGGAATGAACCCTATGCAAGTTGTTGGTGCCGTTGGATTTCAGCATCGGCGTCTTGACATTCCAGACGATATGGATCCTGTTATAGCAGATATAATCAGGAAATGCTGGCAAACGTGAGTGTATTTATATCGCTTTCTAGTGTCCAAATGTTTGCATCAATTAGTCTTACTGTAGATTAAGGGCATTTATGAAGTCTTTTACAACTCATTAGAAATAATGCTAAAGAATGCTTGTGCTAAAAACTTATAACATGTTTTGTAAGGTAGATCAAACAGTATTCCACAGTATATTAAGTATGAAAAAAAGATAATGTGTACCAAACATGCACTTAAGGTCTAAAATGCTTAGAGATATACAAAGCCTCGAGTACAGCTTCGACACAAATGTGTAAAAGCACATGCATAATGGGCTTATCTTTCGCTATACTTATGACTTGAGCTAAGCTATTTGCAAAGTTGTATTCAAAAGATTCTTGAGGGTGTGATACACACAATATTGGTGTTTATTTACAGTAATTAAAGTTGTGAATCTATTGGATTATACGTTTCATCTGTGAAATACTGTAGAGATCCAAGATTACGGCCTTCATTTGCTGAGATTATGGCTGCTCTGAAACCACTTCAAAAGCATATTGCCAATTCACACTTGCCAAGACCCAGTGTTCTTGTAAGCAGGAGAAACGAGAAGAATCAGTCATCACTAACCTTGGAAAATCAATCCGGTCATAAGAGCTAGTTGGAACGAATATGATAATTTGCTCTATCGAGTGACTTGCAATATAGAGGCAAACATGCTTTGGGAGAATGGTGAATGAGATTTTGTTATAGATGATCAAGCACGTACCTCACATTTGAGTGAACTAGAATTCTTTCATATCCCCCATTTTTCCTTTTATTGTTTGTATTCTTTGTTTATGGTGCCACCATCCACGGAATTGTGCAGTTGTTTATACATTCGTTTGAATTTCTTGTAATTAACGTGTCCTGCCGAGTTACTAAGACTAGGCCAGTGAAAAATCATATTGGAGGGACTCTAAAAACATGTGTAGCCGCCTCTAATGGAAAAATTAATTTCAATTATAGCTTGTTGATCTATTGATGTTTTATCCGCCTTCTGAGTTTGTTGATTTAGTTAGAAGAGAAGATTGATTGAACCTATAGATGGTAGAGTTGTCAATCATATAAGCGTTGTTGATTGATTAGGTAAATATGATCTATGTATGCTTACACGTCTGATTTAACGTTTGAAAACGTCATATATGAATTTGTCTCGATCTATCTTCGTCGCATCAGCTCTCGAAATGAAAATATCAAGCCCTTGCCAACATATAGGTTTCTTAGCGCCCTGTTTGACCCCCGTTATTTCACATTATAATAAGAGAAATAGTAATTTTTTGGAGAATGCATGGTTAAAAAAGAAGTAGAAGTTTTTTATTTTACGCGTAATATTATTTTATTGAAAAATGTGTGATTAAAAAGAATATTAAAAAAAATTATGGGAAATAATCGGGGTTGCTTAGTCAATGTGTTGGTCGGATATTGTTGCCTTCTTGACATTTAATTATTGGATATTTGGGCAAAGCACGTTGGGATCTGCAGCTGCTGGTGTACGTGGTGCTTTATATTTGTCAAAATGTTAAAATGGAATGAAGAATTAGACATAGAGTAAAGCCACTTATCCAATTAAAATTTTCTTTCTACCTAACAACTAACAAGCAAGTCCTTGCCAATGAGCAAAACTTTTGGTTTATTTTGACATATGTTAATTCATGTTTTTTACTACTATTCATGTTATTAGAATTTAGAAATGTTATGAGAAATTCTAGGAGGTTTTAATAAAATATTAGTGTATATATCGAAATTTTTCTTACTAATGATAAAATCAATGATTGGATTCTAACCTAAAATTGAATCTTAAAAACTCAGAATGAAACCGGGTCGGTTGGGTATTGGTTCAAGGGTAAAATCCAATGACCACCCAATTTTATTTTGTTTTATCATGATTACCTAACTTTATATTTAGTATCACCATGGTCACCCAATATGATTTTATTTTACTATGATCATCTAATTTCATATAACGTTTCAACATGACAACTAAACTTTTTTTTCACCATTTTCAGGTTAAATCCATCAATGACCACTCAACTTTATACATAGTGTCATTATGACCACCAAATTTAATTTTATTTCATCATGAACACCTAACTTTATACATGGAAAATGAATCTTCTATAGGGAGGCTAACATCCTTGATGTTTTAGTGTTGCTGTGGTCGTCCAATTTGATTTTATTCATTACGACCACCCAATTTCATATAGCGTTTCAACATGGTCACTCAACTTCTTTTCATCATTTTTATAAATTTTAAAAGGGGTAAAATGATAACTTTTCATTTTATATATAAAATAAATTTAAAAAATATTTTGTTTATTTTAAAAAATTTTTTAAATAAAGTTTTTATTTTATTTTACTTTTTTAAATAACGCTTTTTAAAATAAGTTTTTGATATTTTTGAGCAACGTTTTTTTAAATAAATTTTTATGTTATTTTATTTTTTTAAGTAACTTTTTTTTTAAAAATTATTTTATTTTATTTTAAAACCTTTTTTTTGAAATAAGTTTTTATTTTACTCCAAGTTTTTTTTTAATACTTTTTTTGCGATAATTGCAACTAGGTCCCCAAACGTTTCAAACATTAACAGACTTTCCTTTGATTTATTACAACTGTTGCTCTTAACCTTTTCAAACTTTGTAGGTGAAGCCTCAATGGATTTAAAACATCCAATTTACCGTTAGGTGATCAAAAATTTGAATTTAACCACATTTTTATAATGGCAAAATAGTAACTTTCTATTTACCAAATTAAATAATTAAATTTAAAATAAAAAATAAAATAAATCCATACCTCTTCCCCCATCACCCACTCCAAAACCAGGGACTATGAAATCGACCATGCCACCAGCCACTGCCCACAACGCCTTTAAGGAATGCAATCGCCACCGAACCACCACTACAACCCAACCCAATTGACACAGTCATTACTATCTTCTACTATTCCTTTGTGAATTTCTTTCAAATGCCTATAAAAATAGTGCCAGGCCCCCTTTCGTCAATGGAATTAGAATCATTGAAATTGTAGGTTGCATTCTTGAGCACTCAGTAACTCAATCTTTGATGATTGTTTAAGGGTGTTTTGGAATCAAACAAGCTAGTGAGTTGACTTATGAACTAAAGAGTACCACATATAGTAAATAAAATAAAAGTTGCAAAGAGAGTAATAAAAGAAGCAAAATCTGTGACTGGAAGCAAAATTATGCTTATTTTGGGGGCTGGATTTAATAAAAAATGGTTGTCTTGAAAGCATTTTGCTTGTGGGTCATGAAAATTTTGCTTTGACCAAAGAGAAATGGAGGGAGAAAAATCAAGAAAGAGCTGTAAAAGTTTTGGGCATACCCGATCATTTGTTTTACAAGACTTTATTTTTGGATTCGAACGATTTGTTACTGACTCGGGCAGTGTAGGGCCAAGTTGTAGATGCGAGATGGGATGTAGCAACCGTGTGACTCAGGGAGGGATGTCGAATTCAATATGAGAATTCATTTTGCAAAATTGATTTGTGAAAATTTGATTTGAGAAATATGTACTTGAAAAAGACAGTGATTTATGGTGTTGGATGACTGGAGGGTGAACAATGAAGGGAGAGGTCCTGGTGGCGACGGTTTTGGTAAGGGTAATGGTTGGGAGAAAGAAGATGCAATTTTTTTTACCCCTTTTTTGATTTTTTAATTTAATTAATGTAATTATTTAATTTGGTAAATAAATAGTTACTATTTTGCCCTTTATAAAAATATTAAAAAGATCGTCAAACTCAATTTTTGTCAACTAACAGTAAATCAAATATTTTTTCATCCATTGGGCCTCGTCTACAATATTTGGAAAGATTATGGGTGACAGTTGCAATAAATCAAAGATTCGAGAAAAGTCTACTAGTATTTGAATGGTTGGGCCATTGCTGCAATTATCCCTATTTTTAAGGAGCTTTTTTTTAATGGTTTTTTATTTTATTTTATTTTTAAAATGCATTTTTAAATAAGAAGTTAGGTGGTCATGGTGAAATGTTATACGAAATTAGGTTGTCAAGGTGAAACTTTATATGAAGTTGGATGGCCATGATGAAATAGAATTAAATTGAAAAGCTATGGTAAAACTAAGTAGAAAGTTGGGTGACCATGGTAACAATAAGTATAGAATTGGATGATCATTGGTGGATTTAACCTATTCACTAATTTTAGAAGGGGTAAAATGGTAACTTTGTATTATATGTATAAAATAAATAAAAAATAAAAAATTATTGTAAAAATATTCTTTTAAATTAAGTTTTAATTTAATTTTATTTTTCTAAGTAATATTTTTTTTAAAATAAGTTTTTTTTTTATTTTAAAAGCTTTTTTTTTTAAATAGGTTTTTATTTTTTCAAGGAACATTTTTTTAAATAACCTTTTATTTTATTTTTAAAAACTTTTTTTAAATACATTTCTATTTTACTTCAAAAAAATTTAAAAATTTTTTAAATTTATTTTAATTTTTTAAGGAATTTTTTAAAAATGACTTTTTATTTTTTTAACTTTTTCTAAGTAACATTTTTAAAAATAAGTTTTTATTTTATTTTAAAAATATTTTTTTAATAAGTTTTTATTTTATTTTCATTTTAAAATTTATTATATATATATATATATATATATATAAAATGAAAAGTTATCATTTTACCCCTTTTAAAATTAGAAAAAATTGTGAAAAGAAGTTTGATGATCGTGGTTAAATGTTATATGAAATTGGGTAATTGTGATGAAACATTATATGAAAATTGAGTGATCGTGATGACATTAAGTATAGAGGTGGGTGGTCATTGGTGGATTTACCCATTGGTTTAATGCATAAATACTTGATTGGATTTCCCATTGCATTTTCCTTCATAAAAGATTTTTTTTTAAAGATTAGTTAATATTAGTGTCAATGGAAACATTACCATTGACGTGTACTTTATTCAAACAATTTTGCTATTTTACCTGGTAGGGGTTCTGCCCTCAGAGCAAGTCGATCCTAGGCTATAAAAAATTGGCCAAAACTCCACCCACTCCCCGCGATGTGAGTGCTTGATCGGGGTTCATCCTGTACCTCAAACTTCATCCCTATTCAAGTAGAAGTTAGGTAGATTTAGTGAGACGATAGTCTGAACTCTCTAGGCACATTGGGATAATAATTCCTAGGGTTGGACAAAATTCTCGAATCGAATTGAATCGAACAAATCAGGTCTTTTTAAATTAAATACTCGAACGGGTATTTGAATCAAGAATCGACGAATTCGGTTCAATTCTCAGTTCTAGGTCGATAATCGAAGAATCGAATAAAAATTGAATCTCCCTAATTTTTTAAATTTATTTATTTTAAATAAATCAAATTATTTTATTTTTTTCTAAATAAATTTGTTAATTAGTTAATTTAGCTCAAATCCAAAAATATGATTTTCCATTTTCCAATTTTCAATCAAAACCCAATTTAATCAAATTGATCTAAGTTTTACCCAAATCTGTTATTCTACCATAGTGCCATTTTACCGTTTTGAAGGAATCGAGTTGAAACTCAACAGCGCATTTCTTATTTATTGCGAGCTCGCTAGCTTTCTCTTCCTGTGATTTTAATAATCAAATATATGAAAAACTTAGCAAAGAGAGACACAAAAAGTCACATAAGATTGGATTATGTTATTTAATAAGAATTTAGATTGGACATGTCATTAGTTGAATTAATGTAGCTTTGTAAATATTAAAAAAATTAATTATAGTATGAAACCGAGAACTGATTGGAATCGAACCAAATGAAACCGAACCCGAACGATTTCATAATTAAATTTGGACTCGACAATTTCACTTACTAAATACTCGAAAGTTTCGAGTCCGACTTGATTCTCATTAAATCGAATCGAATCGAATCATACCACACCCAGCCCTAATAATTTGAACTCTTTAGGTCTGCGTTAGTAATTATTTAATTAACGTATGCACTTGTAATTATTACACAAGTGAGTAATGCG